CACACACACACACACACACACACACACACACACACACACACACACACATGTGTGTGCGTTAGCGTGTGTACATGCATGCTCTGGAATTCGCTTGACTTCTCTATCCTGAGACACCCACCAGCTCACTTTTCACAGTCATGCACATAAGAATGATCAATGGGACCAACGAACAGCCTACACAGTGCAGAATTGAAGAGTTACACAACTACACAGTGCATGAAAAGAGACGTTTCCCGCATTCCCTTGCATCACGCAGTTGTGTAACTTAGAAGGCACATAGAAGACACTTTGCCTCAAGTAGTCCAACTAGGGGGGCAAGGCACTTTGCCCTATCCAAACATTGACCCTGCTCCTCCCATCCATAACATAGTACATGAAAATGTGTGTTGTCACTCGTAACCGTCCAGGGATCAGATTATTGTCGACTCTTTGAGGATCGGGCATGAGTGTCTCACACTCCATTCTCCGCCAATGTCGAAGCCTGTTGATTAGGCCGCAGGCCGTGGCTGCCATGGACTCTCGGCTACACTCAGACTCCCTTTCTTTGTTCTTCGAAAGGAGTTGTCGGAAATTGGGATAGCCTGAGGATAAGGGTGTTGAGAATCCACCTAGGGCTGTCTTTGAGAAATCCTGTGTACCATCTCAAGACTGCACACGTTGTCTGATCTAACTAAAGGTTCAGGCCTTCATCATCTGCATGACAACAGTCCTAGTTTACAATTCAAACAATTTCTGGATCTTCCCAAGCAGAAAAGGACACTAGTTCGAAGGAGAAACACTTGGCATTGATCCTATGGATGAAAAAAGAAATTGACACACACAGGAAAGATGCCCAGAACAATCTTTCAAGCTGTTCTATTAACTCAGACTTCACAGCTCCCTCGCACTGATGCAAGCCGTTCTATAAACTCAGACTCAGCTTTGTAGACCCCTTGCACTGATGCTGAGGATGACCATGCTCTTCAGTCCCCATACAGAATGTCACTCGATACAAATCTGACAAAAGAGTTGCGATGCATCAGTCCTAAAGGGCTTTTGAACCGCTGCTTGTTGCGATGGACAGCAATCAGTTGGACTGAGGAAGAGAAATCGAGACATGCAAGTCACCAACTCCATTCTTTCCCCCTGTCCCCCTTTCCATAGTCCCTGCACCCATGCCGCTTGTGAACTGTTATGTAGCCCATTGAACTTCCGTCCACAGTGAGTTCACACGTTCCCATACACGCACGCAACTGCAGAGTAGACCTGAAGGAGGCAATTCCACACAAAACCAGAGAGAGATATGCACAGCGGAGACCCGAAGGAGGCAATTCCAAACAAGGAGAATTGAATACGAAATTCAATTCTGATTTATCCCCCGTCCTCCTCAAAAAATCAATCCAGAGTACTTTATTCCAAGAAATCACAACCGTGTTGTCAACAACCCCGAACAACCGAAATCAAATGTTCAACGAAGTAATCAGGAGTCTTCTTCTTCATCCTCGCCACCTCATCACCCTGGCTATGGCTGCCGTAGCAGCAGAACCCCTAAACTGTCACAACGTGCCAATCTGAACTAGCACCCTCAATAATTGGCAGCGCCAGCTCAGCGCCCGCACTGCAGTGCAACGCTGGAAATCCCGATGAAGAAGAAGAAGACCAATCCAGTACTTCAAAGAAGATGGTTCCTCATGAGGAGGAACAACAAAAGAGCTGCCAAATGGATATGATGGCAGCGCCCCAAACCAAACAGCACAGGTATCGTGGAAACTCCCTGCAGTGCTGCACACCTGTAGCAGCCTGCCCTTCAATCTTCAGTCTCCACCACCAGCTATGGCTACGCACCGAAGTAGAAGATGACCACGTCCAACTAGCTCCGCTGCGCTCCATTCCCGGACTGGCAGAGCTTCTCCAACAAAAATGAACGTGAAAAGACCCCAAACCCAACGGTATTCCCCTACTTCTACTCACGAACTAGGCCTCCAGCGGATTCCCAAGGCAGCACCCCAAGATTCACCTGTATCTAGATAGAAATTGGGGAAAAGGGGGCCCAAACCTACAACAAGGCAAAAGGAAATAGGCCGAATGGCCTAAGACTGCCAAGTAGGACTACTAGGCTAACAGTTAGTGTACACCCGCTATTACCTGCAAGTTCATTGCAGATCACCCTCCAAAGCTAAGCCGTTCTAAACCAACTGTGAATGAAGCTGTCTGTGTACAATCTGATACACGAGGTGCAGCAACTTGCAAACAACCCACAGCAAAACAAAAGGCAAATTGCTGACCCAGCAATTCGCTCAATGTGGGTCCAGGGAGCGCAAAAACGAAAGGCAAAGACAGTGCATAGCGCGCACCGCACATATAATAGAAACTTGACGACTGAAGCAATTACACGAAGCATCTGTAGCTGATTCGGTGCACGGAGGTCTGTTCTGGACAATGAACACATGGAATGCCAAGGAAAGGTCACTTAAAACCATGCATAGCCTGATCCCCTCTTTCCATCTCTGTTCGCTTCTGTTCCTCCCATGAATATGTATCCCCTCAGCAACGCACAACATTCTTTAAACAGTTTGGCAACCATCTGCATTTCAAGCCCTGCCGTCTTCACCTCGATAAAACGTACCGTCATTATCACTGTACCTAGACTGAAAGTTGCCCCAAATACAGCTATAATGACCACACGATCTATTTGAGGGAAGATGGTAATTCAGCATGCCATCACCATCACGGCGCACCATTGTCACCAACCATTGCCCATCTATGGATACATGCATACATTACCAAATGAACAACGCTTTGTCAATGGCGTTTAAATGGACAGGAACAGATGTGTCTTGGCTCAGTCTCTGACTTTAACAAACAGCCCATCACAGGCTGGCATGAGTCGATTGCACTACCTTGTCTGTTTCCAATGGCATGAGTCAATTGCGCAGTCAATAACCAATGCAATTTGTCTGACAGGATATCCGACCACAACAGGGGTACCTCCACGCAGTTACTATTTCAAGCATGCCTGAGGTACCCCCATTGCGTGTCTGAAGGTACCCCCACTGTGCAGCGTCAGACTCTGACTAGCCAGTCAAAACCATTCTTGCATGTTCACCAGTTGCCAAAACCGACCGCCTCTTTTTTTGGGGGGGGGTTGTGCGCACGCGCAGGGGCCATGCTAATCCGCTCTGTATCGTTCCAATTTTAACGGGTGCGCAGAAGGACGGGAGGGGGAAAAAAAAAACTGACCACCTTACGTCTGTGTTACACCGAAAAGAAGGCCCACACAAGGTGCCTGCTCCCCTCCTCCCCCCCCCCAACCCCCCAACCCAGAACCATTGCAATCAGATCAGATTGCCGATGCACAAACTCTCACAAGAGATGAGAGTAGATGAAGGATACTTGCAGAATAACATAGCAAATGCACAAACCTGAAGCATGAAATACGACATCAAGGAGATGGACAGACAGTAAAGACAAATTCTCACCTGATCCCCTTTATATCTTTCTTGAATGGCTTTTATCTTTGGCTGCAAATTCTGCATCGCCAAGGTTGATTCGACCTGGAAAAAAAAAAAAAAGAGGGGAAAAAAGACGCACCTTGAGCAAAATCAAACAACAGGAATGGGCTGAAAACTTATCGATGACAGCAGAGTTGCTGAGCCGTGTCATGACCTCTCGCACAGTTACATGAAAATTTGAGTGCTGCGGGTAGCACAAACTCCCAGCACTCAGAAAGACACACTCCATACACTGTTTCGAATTGAAAGAGATCAACCTGAGCCAAGCACCCCCTCCCTCCTCCATCACTGCAGTGTAAACCCAATCTATCACCACTACCTTTCACAGTGTAAACCCAATCTATACCTCAGATCCTTAGACCACCACTACCTTTCACAGTGTAAACCCAATCTATACCGCATTCTTCGGGGACTGGGCCGCCATTGGGCTGCCATTGATATGGCCTTTGCTGCGTTACCGGCCTCCAAAACTCACGGGGCCCCGCCTGCAGACGATGTATGGGAAGGTCATGGCGGTTTAAGTAACAAATCAGCGGACCTCTCCCCCCACCCACCCACCCTCTCGCTCCCTTTGAGACAACCCTTGTGCATAACAAGACAATCGACAGGTGCAATTTGACACAGCCATTGCACATAACAAGACAATCGAGAGCTGCAAAGGACGATGTCAAACGAACTGAAACACACATGCAAGGGACTATCAAGCCTAGACAGGGGATTCACAATGGGGTTTTTTTTTTTTTTTTTTTTTTTTAGAGGATTCAGTGATTCACACAGTTAATTAAACAGTGGGACGAAAATCGACACCCCTCCTGTTCACTTGCAGGGAAAGTCCTGAGAGAGTAGTCAGGTGTTGCCTCGCCATCTCTGTATCAATTTCAGGGGCTTTACTCTCATTCCCCTGCCTCTACTACTGCAGTCTAGGATGCCATTCTGAAAGCAGAGCATGATGCTCCTCGCTTAGCATCAATGGATGATCGACCACAGACTACAAGAACTCGTCTTCACCCAAATAGAGCGCCCGGTACCTATAGCTGCATTCGGTGCAACTTTCAGTCTAGATACAGCGATAATGACAGGGCGTTCTATTGGGCTGAAGGCGGTAGTGGAATCAAACACCCTGGTTAAAAGGTGGCGTGCGCCATTTCCTCAGCTGGCTGCAGCCGTCCGGCTGATTTTTTCAGGAGGCAGTGGTGGTTTAAGACGGGAAAAGAAATCAAAACTCCCTGCCCGATGGATGAATGTTTCATACCTAAAGGCTAAAACTGATAATGATCAGGTCACAAGTTCAACTCCTGTTGAAAACAAAACAAGGAGAACTAAGCTCTCAGAACAAAAAAAAACAAACGGGTACAAGGCAAAAAAAGATGACGTATATTTGACTACTAGATGACCGGTTGCGGCTTCGCTCGCAAAAACAGATATGATGGGTAATGCATTCATGGTGGGGACAACTGGCCCGTGCAAACTCTCTCTCTCTCTCATATTGTGATGCACGGGTGCCGATCTCTCTCGCACCTATTTCCATCTTCCTACTCTCCCTTCCCTCGCCCCCTCTCTCACATACACGGCTCTGCCTCTCTCTCTCTCCCCCCCACATGGAATGATTTCGCGACTTTAACACCTCCACCAAGCCGACCTTCCCCTTTCCCTCTAATACTTCCCCTTTCCCTCTCTCCCTTCTCTCTCTCTCTCACATACCCAAGAAACAAGCATATATATAATAGAACTATAAATTGAAGCAATAACTCGAGGAGGGGGGTTATGGAGGCAGGCAACATTCCTTGCACTGTATCAAATATCACCAATGAAACGTTTTTTTTTCGCCGTTCGCCAACCTTTTCTTTCTTTCCTCTTTTTAAATTTTGGACCATTTCTCAATTTATGCATGTCATCCTTACGCAGCAGGGGCCATGCTAATCTTCCTTCTCTGTATCGTTCCCATTTTAATGGATGTCCCGAAGGACAATTCGCCAACTTTTTTTTTCTCAATGCAAGGGCATTTGCAGTTGCTTGTTATTATTTTGGCCCCCCTGGAAACAAATCTGCAGTTCAAGTGGAAACACATCTGCAGTTGAAGTGGAAACATATCTGCAGTCATTTGTCCAGATTTGACTCGTGCTCACCTGCTTCTTGGTTAGCGGGAAAGTCGCCACTTTTACAAGCAAAGTAAGAAGAATGATAGAGAACCCGTAGGCGTAAGGAACGTGTAAGCCTGAGAGCCCCGTCTCCATAAACTGCACAGTACAGCGGACAGGAACAAACAAAAAGACGGAGCAAGTGGAAACCGTTAGCCACCGTTAGCCACGCTACCCACTCTAGTCGATGTCAAAGTTGCAAAGGCATTTTTCATGGACAAGCACCTCCTGGCTTCTTCTCCTGGAGAAGGGAGAAAACTCACAACAACACTATTCTAGTCGAAAGAGATCGAACTCTCGACTTGCTGATCATCAGCTTGATTGAGGAAGTTGGGAAGGCATTTTTCATGGACAAGCACCTCCTGGCTTCTTCTCCTGGAAAAGGGAGAAAACTCACACAACGCTATTCTAGTCGCGAAAGAGATCGAACTCTTGACTTGCTGATCATCAGCGTGATTGAGGAAGTTGCAAAGGCATTTTTCATGGACAAGCACCTCCTGCCTTCTTCTCGTGGAGAAGGGAGAAAACTCACACTGAACTCTTGACTTGCTGATCATCAGCTTGCTTGACGAAGTTGCAAAGGCATTTTTTCATGAACAAGCACGTCCTGGCTTCTTCTCCTGAAAAAGGGAGAAAACTCACAACACAATGCTAGTCAAAAGAATTCGTCAAATGAATTCGAGCTCTCGAGTTACTGATCATCAACTTCATTGAGGAGGTGCTGATTCTGCGTTTGGTAAGATACAGCCATGGATCCGGGTGCATCATTACCACAGACTATTTCTCTGGGTTGTCATGTACCGCTTTTATTACAACTTATATCTCTGCCATAGGTGTTTTTTAGGTGATTTTTAGGTGATTTTTAGGTGCTTTTTACGTGTTTTTTAGGTGTTTTTTAGGTGTTTTCTGGTTAGTTACCCGCATATGCCTGCTGTAGGTGCTTTAAAGGACCAGCATAAAACCCTCGTCGCAAATGCGTACATCTAAATAACATTGAGAAAAATCAAATGAGAGGGAAAATGCTAGTAAAAAGATTGGCATTCCACCTAAAACCCTTCTTTGAAATAAAAATCGGAGAAGTAAGGTGCGATGGATCGGTGCGGACGGACAGATTGCTGTCTGGAGTGAGAATGCAATTCTTCTTCACCACTCCATCCTTCCTCCTCTTACTCTTCCTTTTACCTCCTTTCTCCTCATTTCGTCTTCTCTTCTGCTTGTGCTCCATGCCGCCTTCTTTATTATCAGAGTCTTTCTTCTTTTCACTGCTGCTGCTGTTTCCTTGCTTCTCTTCTTCGTCGTCGCCCTCTTCTTCTTCTTCTTCTTCTTCTTCTTCCTCCTCTTCCTCCTCTTCCTCTTCCTGTTCTTCTTTCCCCTTCTCCTGTTTCTCGTCCTTCCCATGCTGCCAGACAGAGTCAAGCTTGCCTAGCGAATTAACTTACTACTCTGCCTTTCATGAATGACTCATACATGTGTTGCCCCTGCTGGAGAGCGAGACGTCCCTCACTTCATTTTCGGCCTCACAGCAGTGCGGAACAACAACCGTACAACGGACCTGTCTCAGTTGCTGCACCCACTGACTGTTTGAAATACAGACCTGACCTGAGATCTCAACTCCAGACGACTTAAATCAAATTACCGGTATTTCCGAAATTACCTGGGACCGGTCAGTTCAACGATGATATTTCAAGGACGTCGGCCGGGTTGCCTGTCCCGCGGACGGCCGCGGAAACCCTTTAAAAACCCAGAAACAGAAAATCCCACTGTGTCTGAACTTAACATTAGCGGTCTGTCTTTTTTTTTTTTTTTTTCCAACTTCACATTATCTTTTTTTTTTTTTTTTTTTTTCAACTTCACATTATCTTTCGAATCCCGGGCTCATGTCTCATGATAATGGATTCCTTACCTTTTCCAAAAAAAAAAAAAAGAAAGGTGGATGTGAAATATTTCTCTTCGCAGAAAGGTAGCACGGACGGGCCCACTGTCAAAAATGCGTTAGAACCAACGAGCCTAGCTCAGTTGGTACACCCATGAACTGCTGAAATACGGACCCACGCTGGAATCCAGATGCAATCAGATGAACAGAATAAATACTAGTAATTGTGAATTACCTGGGAGCCATCAGTTCAATGATGAGAAAAGAAGAAAAGGGAAAAAAAAGGGTTAGATTAGACTATCAACGGTCTGCGTGATCGGCTCCTTATCAATACAGAAAGGGCGGCAGCCCACACCGAGGACCATTTACCGCTGGTAAGTTTTTTAGTTCTTTATCAACCGATGGTAAGTTCCCCCCCCCCCCCCCCCCCCCCCCCCCCCCCAATATAGATCATCAAACTCAGACATACTATCAGGCAGTAATCTTACTATGATTTCCCCCCCGATGCATTTAGGTTAAACACTTTTTTTTAACAAAGTGAGTTCTACGCGCAGTCTCATGCTTCAATGTGCAAGGAGACCACAACTGGGGCGTGCCTTGACCACCTCGCGCCTGGAAAGAATTGAGCCCTCGACCCAGATTCATAGTGGAGTCGAGGACTCAGAATACGAGGGGTTAATCTACGAGGGGTTAATCTACGAGGGGTTAATCTACGAGGGGTTAATCTACGAGTCCTAGCGACTGAGAATTCGTCTCACATCCCCAGGCGAGCAACCCTTAGGCTCAAATACGAATCCTCGCACTGAGCACTGTCTCACTTCCTCTCCCACCCTACCTCTACCCTCCCACCACCCTTCCCCGCTCTCCGCCGAGCCTTGTTCCCTCGCCCGTCCGCCCATCCATCCCCCAACCACCACCTCAATCGCAATAACCACCCGAGCACACACCGTATCCCAAGACGGAAAGTACAGAATTGAATGCAATGTTTTCGTTAGTTGAATGGTACATGCCCTTCCACCCATCTATCAATGCAGTTTACTGCAGTAACTCAGGAGCATGCCTGCGTGCGAAGTTGTTTACCGCGAGAGATTGCGGGAGCATGCTTGCGTTAGTTGATTACCTCGTGCATCCCTGCATCAGAATAGAGAGGGCATTCCAGATCAGGCGGTGGGAGCCGGGAGAGGGGGAGAGGGGGGGAGAGGGGGGGAGAAGGGGAGAAGGGGAGAAGGGAAGGGGAGGGAAGAGGAGGGAAGGGGAGGGGAGGGGAAGAGCAGGAAAGCGGGAGAAGGGGGGCAGGTATGGGCGAATACAAAGGAAGAAAACTCTTGCCGCCTTGAGTAAAAGCCGTCTGGACCCTCGCCTTATTGATTAGGAAATCCGCCTTGCTTTCTTGAGCGAGGGAGAGGAGAGGGGGCGGGTAGAAACTGAAGAGGAGGGAGTTCGGTGGCTCACTAAACCTCACAGAACAAGTGAGAGGAATAAAGAGCTGGCAGCTGGCCCTGGTGGCCGAATGGTACACATATACCTTGTTGATAAACAGATTCGGAGTGATGAAATGAGATTTAAGGACTACCTTCTTCCAATTGTGTGTGTGTGTGTGTTGGGGGGGGGGGGGGRGGGAACCGTCCCCACGTTGCACCATTTCAATTTTCTCACAGTCCTGTGTTATCATTTATAATCTCGTCGTTTTCCCCTAATTTACTTAGGATATAGTATGATCGTTGCTACTAGTATCAGTGTGTGACATTTGTTACTATTCATTATTTTATTATTTCATTACGCTTATTTTTATTTCCTTTTTTCTTTTTTTTTGGGGGGGGGGAGGGGAGGGGAGAACCATCCACTCTCAGGGACATCTAACCTCTGATTCAAGTCACAGGTCACTATAATTGGAGATTACTGTTTATATAATTCAATTCTCACTATTATTTTTTTTCTTCCTTCAGTACACTGCTCTCACTGTCACTATCCGATTACTGTTATTAATTATTCTATTATTCTATTATTATGCCTTCCGGACCTGTATTTATTGAACGACCGTTTCCGCTTATTTCATTGTATGCAATTCCTATCATTATTTCTTAATCTTGTAAATATGTATACGATATATATAAACAGTTTGTCACAGCCTCTCGTTCGTTGTCCTCTTCTCCCTCCCTCCCTGCCTACGGTTTACCGGGCAGCTCTGTTTGACGATATATATCGTCAAACACATATAATATTATATATTACTGTTGGGGTGAGACCCGAGGAGTGGTCTACATTCGTTGTGGGGGAGGGAAGTATATGGGCATCGCTGATTCAAACCCTTAACATTTCTCCATGTATATAGATTGCGCTCTGATATCTATGTGACGATATATCATCACATGAATATGAAAGCGCAAAAGCGAAAAAAAAGAAAAAAAAAGAATGAATTCGTTTTTTTATATCTTCTTCCTTATAACTCCCCCTCTTCAATGACGATATATATAGACATCCACGTGGCTGGCCTTGTACGTAAGAGGTGACGAACAGTTGGGGCTTTCCTTCCTTACTTCTTTTTCTTTTTCTTGTTTTGTCTTTTTCCGCCTTTGCGCTCCGATTTCCAGTGTGACAATATATATTGTCATATATAGACATATAGATAGATAGATAGATAGATAGATAGATAGATAGATAGATAGACAGATAGATAGATAGATAGTGATCTTTGTAGCTGGGGGGATTGAGGTCGGGGATGGGGAGGGAGGGAGGCAGGGTAATCTCCATCTGCTGTGGGGGAGGAAGATAGAAGCTCCAATTTCCTGACTAGCTAAAGCCGATGAACACTACCAACTTCCTTTTTCTCTTGATGGTCTTGACCTGTTTACTTTTTAGCTGGATTTGGCCTTGTGCAACAACGCGTATAAGGGAAAGAGAAACAGATATCCCGCACCTTGAGAATGTCCTCCAGGAGTGTTGTGAGACCCCCGAGCCAGCCCTTGTTCTTCGCCGTGGTAGAAACCACCTCTCCCGCCGCCCCATCGCCTGCCGTGACAGCAGCATCAGCGACGGTGTAGATAAAACCCTCCGCGCGCTGGGCGAGGTGCGACAAAGCGTTGGCGGACGCGGAGATGAGCATCCCCGCCGAGTTCTCCAGATCGCCATCAGGAAGGGGTGGGAGGCCTCCTCCCCCTAGCAAAGCCCGCACAGGGGGACAGCCCGTTCCGCTCACCCTCTTCTGCAAAGGAGATCTCTTAACCCAGGAGGGAGACACGACGAAGCGCCGAAGCCGCACCCCTTGCGGAGAAGGTCGCACACCACCGGCGCCAGCCAAGCCGCATGAGGCCGTCGCCGTCGCGCCGCAAGGTCCGACACAGTCCGGAGCGACAGCGGCTGAGCTGTCCTTTCGAGGTCGGTAAGTCAAGCGCAGAGGCAGCAAGCCGCCCACCGGGGCAGTCCCACGGGTTGATGCCGCACATGCCGTCGGACCCATGCCGCTGGAGCTTCGCCATGAAGACGAACGCAGCACCGACCTTCCATGCTGCGCACCTCGCTCAAGACTCCCATGCCGCACACCTCGGGCACTACCTGGAACTCCACAAAAACAGCACCTCGGCGACGCACCAGCTGCCATTGCTGCAGAGGGCATGACGTCTCTTACCGATGACGGACAACCCGTAGCTTATTTAACCTTCCTCTGCTTCTGCTGCTGCTGGCAGCTGCTGGCCAGTCGTTCTGCGGATTGCTAGATCGCCCGGAGCCAATCTAGGCCCCAAGCCAGGGTGGCTTTCCTTCCCGGGAGTTGTGAGCGGTAGTAGCCTGCTCTCCCGCGAAGCAGGCGCCCTAACCCTTCCCCAGCATGCAGTCAATTACCCGTGCAATGCACTCTACTCTGCAGCCCACCAGCAGAAGTGGGCGGGCGGCGGCTGCTCGTCCTCCCCGCCTTCAAATCATGGCTATGGAAGCGATGGCCAGCTGCGGCCTGAAGCCGGCGGAGTTCTCCTGATCATCCGCCGCAACTAGAAATGGCTCCAAAAAAAGGAGCCGACCGCGGAGGAGAGGGAAGGCGGGAACGACGAAAATGGACGTTGCATGCGCGAAATTGCCCGCCGAGGACCAGTGATATGACTGGACCTGCCTGTCAATCACCTCTTTCGACCGCGCGCACACCCGTCGCTACTTCTATGTGCCGGGCCGCACCCCCGCGATCTACAGCAGTCCCATCACTGGCCGTCGGAGCCCCTTGGTGTAAAGAACGCAGGGCGCGGGGCCACGTCCGCACCGTAGTAGCTACGTCAGCTTTGCTTGTTGTGCTGGGTCCGCCGCGCTACGGTTCCGCGACTGCCACGAGCACACTCGGCGGAAAAGACACACGCCAAGGAAAGTGGAGAGTGAGGAGGCATGCGCACAGGATTTCGTCGCCGCGACGCCATCCGAAACCCTCCAGCTGAAGGCGCCAAAAGTGAGTCTTCTCCGCCTTCGTTTTTTGTTTTTGTTTTTGTTTTTTTCCTTTTTCTTTGAACTCCGCCTTCGTTTTTCGCGTTGTGGGGGTCTTCACAAATCATTCCCATCTATCCGTGGAAAGCAACACCGCCGGTTTATCCAGAGCCGGCGAATTGTAACGTCCAGCAAGATCGACCTATATATAGCTCTTCTCGGACAGCTTTACGGATACAACACAACCAACGGCAGCTCAGTTGGTTCACCCTAGAACTGTTGCTATACAGACCCAAGGTAGAATCCTAATGGAATGAAATGGGCTTCTGAATTACCTGGGCCCAGTCAGCTCTCTCTCTCTCTCTCTCTCTCTCTCTCTCTCTCTCTCTCTCTCTCTCTCTCTCTCTCTCTCTCTCTCTCTCTC